CCCCCCCCTTCCCCCTCTCTCTCTCTCAGCGTGCAAAATGAGAATGGAAGATTCATTTTCGTTTTGAACGTTCGTGCAAAACACAACTTCTCTCTCTCTCCCTCTCTCTCTCTCTCTCTCTCTCTCTCTCTCTCTCTCTCTCTCTCTCTCTCTCCCCCTCTCTCTCTCTCTCTCTGGTTCGCCTGTAACGATCGTCATGGGAGTTGACACGAACGGCTGCCTCTTCCCCCGAGTAGAATGTACATTCATTATCCCTGTATCTAGGCCAAAAGTTGCCCAAATACAGCTATGATGACCATGCGGTCTATTGGGGGAAGACAGTACCTTTCTGCTTTTGAGAGCTACGGTCTTCCCCCGAACACAGCTCACCCCTCGATGGACTGGATGAATGCAAGGCCCGAACAACATTTCATTAGAGAAGAAAAAAAACCGTCAGAGATACTTTCAATATCCACTTCCTCCCATCTGTTTCCACCTGACTGACGGGTTTTGAATGATATATAATATATATGTTTGAACCTTGGGCGCACCCTTGGGCCCAGAAATTGCCCCCAATTCCCATGTCTTTTCCACTGTCCACCCTCATTTGTAGATTGCACCCCACAACTTGAAGGAGGTTAATGTAGCACAAGAGCTTTTGTATTAATTTAGCAAAGGCAAGTTTATTTTCCCCTATTTCTCCAAGTCCACCACGTGATTCTATTGTAAGGGATCAAGGAGCGATGCCCTGGGTGACCTTTCAAAAAACAAGAAGGCAATGGCTTGTGCTACGAACCAGCTCTGGGGGAAGGAGGAACTCAAGCCACAAGCAGCATGAACTCTCTTGATGGACATGCAAATGGGGAACAAGGAGATTTTTAGCAGATTTGACAAAGCAATGATCGCACGAGCACAATAATTTTCACACTGTTGAAGTCTCTTTGGTGACGAAAGACCCCTTCATGCCTCCAACGATCAATTACAACAGCAAGAATAACACTTCTCTGCCCTCGCTGGTCTCCACACCAGCCAGTCCTCCCGTTGGCACAGCATAGCCTGTTGGCCAAACTTCCTCGGATGAGGACAACCTCGAACAACATCGACTTACCCTGGTCTTTTCCTTAAGTATGTTGACTGGTCCTTTAGGTGGTAGGCACTGCCTTCTGTTGTTAGTCTTCCTTTGTTGGCCTTGCTCTTGCCCGTGGCCTGACCGGGTTCTACCCTCCTTTGGGTCTGAGCCCGAGGGCGTTGCTGTCCTCTGCTGTCGGCTGGAGAACTGTGGGTCGGTGCACTTGGGAAATAAAGGAAATAAAGTTGTCCTTCGGGACATCTGTTAAAATTGGAACGATACAGAGAAGATTAGCATGGCCCCTGCACAAGGATGACGCACTTGAGAAATGTTTCATTTTTTTTTTTTTAATAAAAAAGGAAATAAAGGAAACTGCTTGCAGAATCTGAACGAAAACAACAGCTTCATTTGTTAGTCTGTTTGGGTTGCTTTCTGCTGCTGCTGATCTTTTTTCGACTGGCCTGCCTGCCTGCCTGCCTGCCTGCCTGCCTGCCTGCCTGCCTGCCTGCCTGCCTGCTGTCATTTGTGTTGGTGGTGACACCTGGATCTGGATCCGGTGGATAGCTATGTACTGTTTCCACTTGCCTGCTTGCTTTCATCGGCGACGGAGTCTACCAAAAAGGAGGCAGCACTGATTTCTAAGAACTCGCGGGCGAATACGAAGTTGCATTCTAAAAATAGCAAGCGAGATGCTTCACTGCATTTGTGTGAAGGCAGGGTTGTCGAGGAGGAGCCGGAGGAGGAGGAGGAGGACAAGGGAAGGAGGGAACGTGAAGTCATTGGACTCATTACCGCAAATGAAAGCGAAGAAGGAGAAGAAGAAGAAGAAGAAGGGGGAAGGGGATTGACCCAGCAGGCTTTCTCGTCTTCATTGTCATCGCTGTCTTCTCCTTCGTTGTCTTCGGTGTCGCCATCACCAGATTCTCGGAAGTTGGCATTTCGTCATGGCTGGAGGGTTGGAGAGGCGGTGCTGCGATGCATGGAAGTCCTATTGGGTAAATGTCCTTGTGACTCTGCAAATAAGGTGAGCTCGAGATTCGTGTCTGAGTTCTTTTGCCCATCTTTTTGTGAGTACTGCTCGCCGTTCTCCATCTGTCTGAGTACTCTGACTGCCCCATGTATGGCGGCTGCCTGCACCTACTCTTGGCCAACTGTGGCTTGTATTGTGCACCCGGGCAAAATCACATATAATATCATAGTGTGAAGCTGGTTCAAAAAGGAGACCAGGTTCATGCGAATTAATGATTGTTGGTGTTAAAAAAAAAAAAAAAAAAAAGCATGATTGTTGTCCATAACTCAAAAAGTGTGTCGAAGGCACGAGTTAGAAACTTTTTCGGTGGAACAGTTGGAAAGTTGGAAACCTTTTTTTTCTGGGGAAAGTTGAAAATCTGTTCTTGAGGAAGGACTCTATATGAGGCCAACAAACTGACACAGGTTCTTTAACATTAATAGCTGTTGATGGATGATGATATGCGCTGTCCCTTTTTGTGTGTTCACAACTCCACAATATTCGTTTGTTTCAAATTGTTTTGCTGATTTCATTTGCTGCTGGTTGTTTGTGTGATGGTATGTTGTGTTGAAGTAGCTTGTCTTTCTGCTTCCTAGCCTTATGAAAGCTGCAGCATTGGCACGCGAGGAAGCGTCAGAGGAGTTCCGACACTCGGCGGTACGGTGCTTGAAGGAGTTGCTGAGAGGATTGCATCCTCCAAGAGTCAGTGGACACATGGAAGGCCAAGAGGCTCGAGAGGGAGTGTGCACATCTGATGATTCTGATGATGATGGTGATGGTGACCGTCACATGGTGGGATCGGGAATGGGTAGAATTGACCGGAGTGACTGCCCTGTTGCTGCACTTTGCTCGGAAGTGATGGGAATCACTGTTGGAAGCTTGGTTGATTTGCTTCTGAAGGTTTGTCCCTGTTGATTGACCCTCTTCTTCTTCCTTAGAAGTTAGGGCACAGGGAAAACAAGACAGGAAAAAGAACACGGAAAGAATGTGAAAAAAAGTGTGCATGTCTCTGCTTCACATGGAAGGTAACAACACTGATGACAGCTGCCGAACTAGGGTAGGGACAACGACTCCAGGGCTGCCAACTTACTCCACTGAATTTGGTGCTGTCAAGTTACCGCAGTGAAATGTGGCTGTGAAATTACTGGAGTGAATTTGCAGCTGTCAATTTAGGTTTCATTCAACTTACAGCAGTAAATTTACGCCTCTCGAATAAAATAGCACGAACTTGCAGCTGTAACCTTACTGAAGTGAATATGCGTCTGTCGACTCAATAGAGAGAACATGCGGCGGCCCCCAACTAAACCAACATCACTGAGATAGGTAAGGTCGGTCCCATAGTCAGCCATCACACAACCAGGCCTAGTCCGACATTTCACCCTCTGACCAAGTGAGCCTGAGTTCACAGATGTCATGGAATGTCAACGGGTTAGCAGCAGTCCTATCTAACGGTGAAAAATGGGACCATATGACCAACTATCTTAACTGATTCTCAAGGAACGCACCGGACATAGTATGTAACGAGCGTGAGGCTGAGGGTGAGCCGAGGGAGAGGAGAGAGAGGGAGAGAGTGAGAGCACACACACACACACTCACTCACTTGACACGACGGACTCGGACTGAGGATCGGACGCAGAGACAGTGGCAAGTCACAAAGTCGAAGTCTTGGATTCCGAATGCCGAAACAGCAAGTCACACTGAGTACGAGTACAGCAGCCGAGAACTGGTACGAGACTGGTCCCCGTACCGTACGGGGAGCCGGTATAAGTACCGGTGACACGTACGGTACCAGGGGCATTTCTGGAAAGGCCCCGAGGGCAGAACTGAAAAATGCAGTATTTGAAAGTGGCGCCCGAATTGCAGCATGGCGCCAGTTGTCCAAAATCCTACGGTACCAAAGGAGGGGTTTGGAAAAAGGGTGCCAGGCCGAAAACGGGATGCAGCCGAAACAGCAAAAGATAGACCAGGGATCGAGCCCTGGCGAAGTCCGTAACATAGTATGCGTACAAGAAACACATTTAACAAACTCAGCAGAACACCAAGCGACAATCAATGAAATAGTGTCAAGACTGAGATATGTGAAAGCAAGCCAATGGCCACCGTCCCCAAGAATTAGTTCAGCAGGTACAACCGTCCTCTGGAATGGAAACTCGAGAGCAACCAATCAAATCAATATCATCGAGTGTAAGACAAATGCAGAAAATGGCAGATGGATACATATTTTTTTCACGTACAAGGGAGAAATCTTCCGACTAATAAATGCTTATGCACCCAAGGACTCATCTCAGAGAATAACCTTCATACAACGTGTCTTAGCAAGGCGCGACACACAAAAACACTTGTTACCAGTAGGCGATTGGAACACCGTACTTGTTCCATCTAACGACTGGATCTCCTCCTCACAGATGGGTAGGGAAGAAACCCCGCTAAGTGAGGCTCAGGAGATGAACGCACTAGCCCGATCTTCATTAATCTACTCTTCAACCCAGAAGTACAATAAACCCTAGCTTCTTCAAGATTAATAACTCCGTTCTAGACACCCAACAAATGAAGGAAGCCATAACTATCTCATGCATAGACTTGGAAAAGGAAAGAGTGAACTTCTCGAGTATAGTAGCCAATTTATCTAAAGCAGCCTCCGTAGGATTTAGAAAACTGGCAGCCAAAAGGAACCAACGCATACAAGAACTAGAAGCAGCAGCCCAAGTGGTGGAAAGGAACCTCATCAATAACCCAGACCACACATCATATGAAGACTCACTAGCTAAAGCAAGAGTGGAAGTAATGGAAAGCAAAGGGGATGAGACCGAGAGCAAGAGTTAGGGAGTGGGAGGAAGGAGAAAAAATGACGAAGTATTTCTTCCAAAAGATTTAAGCAAGAGGAAGAAACGCTGCCATTCACCAACTTAGAGGAGAAGAGGGCCTCACTTCAGATCCAAGTACTGGGAACTCTTAGGGGAGGAATACTGCAGGTTTTTAAGAACAGTATGGACATCGGATGGTATAGGAAAGTACCTCAGTACTGGTATAGTTACCCTATTATATAAGAAAGGGGACCCCACTGACATAAAAAAATACCGACCTATCACGCTACTAACAGTGGCATATAAGATCCTAGCCAAGCTCCTAACAAACAAAGTAAGGAAAATCACAAGAAGCGGCTTCCACACAGACCAGACAGGCTTCATCCCAGGCAGATTCATACTAGACAACGTAATGACATTAGATGAATCAGTAAGATATGTTAAAGATAAGCAATTTTGAATCAACAACCCTCTTCTTTGACTTTGAGAAGGCTTACGACCAGGTCAACTGGGATTTTGTCCAACAATGTATGGAAAAGACGGGAGTAGGTCCGAACTTCAGAAAATGGGTTAGAATTCTATACAACAATGCACATGGAGCAGTTCAAGTAAATGGACAGATATCTGATCTCTACAAGATGTCTAGGCCTGTAAGGCAAGGAGATCCATTAGCAGCCCCTATATTCCTGTTTATTATGGAGGCAATAACATCTTTCCTTATGAAAGACCCTTCCATGCAAAGACTCCTAAACCCTTCTGAAGACCCCCAACAGACCCCATCACATACCTCCCACGATCATATTCAACTCATTCTTCGAGGCCCTCACTAGAGCAATGCGCGCATATCAATTGGCTTCCAAAATGTGAACCAAATGATAAGAAACAGTAGGATGGTGGCTAACGGATGGAAGCATGGATCCCCCTCAAAACACTCCCGATGGTATGACTTGGTCTGACCCTAAGGACCCATTGAGAATCTTAGGGATCCAAATGACAAAACATGGAGCAGAGACAAAAATGTCGCCTAGCCTCCTAGCCAAGATGATAAGCGAATACCTCATTACATGGAAGAGCCTTAATATTGAACTCGTTCATTTTCTCCATGATGTGGTACGTTGCAGCCTTTTGGGTTCCCCACCATTTGACATGGAGGAACTTAAGAAGGAAAGCTACATCCTATCTGTGGACAGGAGACGCGTCCAGGCAACACTTCATAACCAAAGTCGCCTTGCAGTATGTCACTACCAAAAACGGTTCGGGGGGCTGGGAGTCCTAGACCTCACGACCCAAATAAAAACCCTCCAGACCAAATGGATCCTTAAGCTCATCACTAGACCTCGTCTGCCCTGGAGAACCTTAGCCCTAGAGGGGATACAGCAACTACCAATATATAACAGCCCAGACAACATCGAAAGTTCCTTCTGGGTAATGAGCAAATCATGGTCAATGAAAGGGGGAAATCACACCACAATGTACCCAAGAAACGAGTCTAGGTTGGGATTCTGGAAAGGGATCCTTCGTGCTTGTAGAGAAATCTTCCCAGCTAGGGTCAAGAAACCACACAGCAAGGAGGAGATAGTAAGACAGCGCCTATTCTGTAACCAGTGGATAACAAAAGAAGATGGAAGCCCAATAACGCTGACCTCAAAAGGCGCAAAATGGGGGGTCTGGTTGAAGAGAGGAATATGGCAGATCAAACACATCTGGGATGATAATACGAAAGAATGGAAGCAAACAACTCAGACAACATCTCAAGGTCTGCCATTGATTAAATCAGAACCTACAGGAGATCATAGCAGCCATCCCACAAGAGTGTGGGTGCCAACACTAAAAAAAACGGGCAATGGACAACAGGAGACTGGGCGGCAATATTAATTGAGCCCCTACAGAAGCACGCAATTAGTTTGAGAATCCGTTTATCTCGGATTATTCGCTGGATAGCATACTGGGGCAGAGAAGAAGGCAAACAAAACTGGTACACATTTACTATGCACGGAATAGAGGAACCAGGTTCTGACCACTGCAAAATATGCAAAAACCCGACAGCACAAGTATCAGTCCGAGAGGATAACCTAAGAAAGATAAGAGCAATAGAAAACAAAGAGCTAACCATCTATCTCCCTCAAACCCCTTAGAGAATCTAGAAGTAGACCCAACAGAATGGGCATGGAACCTAAAGCAAGGAACCTTAGGAATCAATACCAAGTTCAACTTACTACGCTACACAACCAGACTAGGCTATAGACTGAGACGCTGCTCCGCAAAACCGGACCCAATAATAGCAGAATCTTGGAAAAGACACCTTGAAGTAGAACCAGAAACTTTCTACCCAATACCAGAATAGCGTCTACTCACCGGCCTAAATTTAGAAGCCTATACCTAGCAGTCCCTTTGAGCCAATGGCTAAATGCCAGAAGAAAAAAGGAAGACAGAAGCCCACTGAAAGAACTGTGCGCCAAATGCAACAATGGTCAAATGGGAAACTTATACCACTGTTTTCTCCTGTGTCCCAGAATAAAACCGCTATGCCAAAAAGCAACAAGTATATGGAATGCAGTAATAGGCACGACTCTTACAAGCAACAGCACATTCCTACTCCTCGGATTCAACACCCCGGAAGTCAGGAGCCCACTAGAATCAAACTTCTTCAGAATAGAAAAGCCACACTATGGGTTATATGGGAGAAAGATGTCAAGAAACAATAGAAAGGCAAAAAATGCACGCCCAAGAAGCGTGGGGACTACTCCAACAACAGGTAGAAACTGAATACTGGGTCCTATGGCGCAAGGTAAGAACGAGGATGAAGGAAGATGAGGACCAAGCAAGGAGCATCAACACAATTTCGAAGAAATCTTCCTAGCAAAAGGCAAAGTTGCACTCATCCGTGGCTCAGCTATAGTATTTAGATTATGGGAGGAAACCCCACCAAGACACAATCGCAACACCCCTCAGTAAATGGTATCCCCGAGTCCTTAGAAGTCAACATGTCCTCAGACTAGACTAATTGAAAGCCCATAACAAGAACTGTCAAAACAGACCAGCACAAAAGATACGAGAGCACGAGGATCCACAGCCGATAAGGACAGGGACAAACCA